ACAAGGCCAAGTGCAAGGTCCTGCATGTGGGTCGGGGCAATCCCAAGCACAAGTACAGGCTGGGCAGAGAATGGATTGAGAAGAGCCCAGAGGAAAAGGACTTGAGGGTGTTGGTTGATGAGAAGCTCAACATGAGCCAGCAATGTGTGCTTGCAGCCCAGAAAGCCAACTGTATCCAGGGCTGCATCCAAAGAAGTGTGGCCAGCAGGTCGAGGGAGGTGATTCTGCTCCTCTACTCTGCTCTCATAAGACCCCATCTGGAGTACTGTGTTCAGCTCTGGAGTCCCCAACACAAGAAAGACATGGAGCTGCTGGAGCAGGTCCAGAGGAGGGCCATGAAGATGACCCAAGGGCTGGAGCACCTCTCCTATGCAGACAGGCTGAGAGAGCTGGGGTTGTTCAGCCTGGAGAAGAGAAGCCTCTGGAAAGACCTTCTAGCAGCTTTCCAGTATCTAAAGGTGACCTGCAGGAAAGCTGAAGAGGGACTTTTTACAAGGGCACATAGTGATAGCACAAAGGGTAACGGTTTTAAACTGAAAGAGACTAGATTTCAATTAGATATAAGGAAGAAATTCTTCTATCTGAGAGTGGTGAGGCACTGAAACAGGCTACCCAGAGAAGCTGTGGATGCTTCATCCCTGGAAGTGTTCAAGGTCAGGTTGGATCAGGCTTTGAGCAACCTGGTATAGTGGAAGGTGTCCCTGCCTGTGGCAGAGTGGCTGGAACTAGATTATATTTAAGGTCTCTTCTGACCCAAATCATTCTATGATTCTATGAAGAAAGAAATATGCTACTGAGAACAGAAAGTGAGAACATTTGACTTTGCAATTGATTTTTTCTAACAGAAAATCCATTGTTATACCAGCAAACACACAAGTAAAAGTAAAGGCAGGGGTTGTTTTTTCTTTATTGCTCCGTAAGTTTTATTTGACAGTTGTAATGAGCTCATTATTTTCAGTTAGATAGGTATTGGTTTCTATAGTGTTCAACTTTTCTAACCTCAAAAACGTTAATTCATTAAATTTCTTTGTTAATAATATTTTATAATTTCATTCTACTAGTTCTATGGGGACGTATACTTCATTTTAAAAGTTCTTCTTACATAGAGCTACTGCACAGAGAGAATAACTAAAACAATGTTCTGATATATAAGATTTCATTATGAATTCTAAGAATGGGATAAATATAAATTGATTGCATGCTTTTCGTACACACATTCATAATTTGTCTATTAAAGAAAGACACAACATAGAGTACAAAAAGACTAGAGATTTAAGGAAATAAGGGGAAAGAGAGGTCAAATTCTAAAGATACTAAAACTAGATACTGAACAATTTATTGAGAAAAAGAACTTGAATAATCTTATTTAACACGTGAAATATATAGGCTAATAACTTGAAGCACAGATTTAACTAATAAAATTTGCTGAGAGAGAAGATATAGGTATTGTTTCTCCATACAAGAGCCTCACATATTTTGAAGAAAGGCAAATAAATGCCTTTGAAACCAGTTACATAGCAATTTGGGTACACAAATGGTTAAAATCTAGAGAAATGAAGGAAGAACTGTGGGATTTTGTAAGATTCAAATGTATTAAGTACTCTGAAAATCCAACAATATGTACTTGGAATGACGGAACATAGACTGAAAACTAATTGGTATAGCCAAAAAAAAAAATAATTATAAGATGAAGGAATAATACTAAGCAATCTGATATGTAACAAACAGATCCAGGTAGTATGTTATAGAAAATACCAAATCTGGTCAGAAACACAGAGTTTTTCATTCTATCGATTATATGCATTCAAAACACAATTGACAATTAAGCACAACCTTGTCCTTAGGACAATTGCTGCCTTCATGATGATGATATTCAGTTTATTTATTCATTGATACAGTTCAAAACAGACTTTTGCTTATGCTCAGCAGCTATTGACCTCTCAGAGACACAAATCTTCCATTGCAGAAAAACAAATTCTTTTGTGTAGCTAGGACTTTCAATTGTGTATTTTATTTGCTTTACTTCTCCCCAACACTCAACACCTAAAAAACATGAAAAGTTTTCTAACTTAAAATGTCAATCAAAACCTCTTGTATTATTTCACAAACTGATTTTTTGCATTGATGAACAAAAGTCTATTCACTGCCGTTCAGTATTTTACCAATTGTCACTATTTTACTTCTTTTATTTACCATAGTCCTTGAAATTCAAGTACCTGTGTCTTAATATTTATTCTCAATCTTTACACATAGACAGACTTATTAGATCAATTTTGAGACTCAAAAAGTGCTTTTATATTCTTGATAAATACTTTTTTCCAAACTGTAAACAAGAGCTTAAATAAGCAACAAGTGTAACACAATACCTGGCCACTAAGTGGCACCTTAAAGTCTTGCTGGTATTTAAAACTACTAGCTGAATAACAGGATATGCATATAATCTCTTAGCTTTAAAGAAGTCCGAGTACATCAAGCCTTGTCGGCCACTGTCGTTGTAATTGTTCTTGGCACTGTCAGTCTCTGTCCCCCTGTCCTTCTAGTTCTCTCACTGATGACCAAAATCTTTGAGCTCCCTCTGCTGCCTCGGTTATGTATAACACAGTAAACTGTTACCGGAAAAATAAAGGGTTAAAAAAACCCCAACAATATCGGCTGCAAAATAGCCCGGTGCCAACTTTACATTACCAGACTCAACAGTTCTCGATAAAGA